AACTTGAGTATGAACTTATACAAAATGCAGCAAGATATTTAAAAAACAGTTTTGTTGATTAAAAAACACTATATCGGATTCATATCGGTATCGGCAGATATCCAAATTTATGATATCGGTATCGGTATCGGACATAAAAAAGTGGTATCGTGCCATCTCTAGTTTAAATGAGTGTGTATAGGAGTCAGTCACAGTGATCTACCCACAGGGTGTTCCCATCTATACATGGTGCACGTCTGTAATGTTTCATCCCTGGCAGAGCTTCCAAACAGTATTCCAGTGTTCCAAACAGCAGTGTTTCTGCTTCGTGCCCTACTCAACTGCTCTATGCACAGTAGGACTGATTAGTTTTTTTCCATCTCATAAATTTGCCTCTCCATCATGTTTGCAGATGTAGCTTGCATCTGTTTTCAGCAGTTTTTTCTGATGCCTCCACTACACTCACCACCACACAGCATCAAGACCATTTATTAACTAGTTGAGAATTTAAGAGCTTAATAGACATGTTTGGAACAGGGCAGACTAATCTAGCTCCATTATAGATATGAATGTAACATATTAAAAGCCAATCTACAAATTTAATAGAAAATATTCTACAATAACATAAAACCTGCTACAGAGAATTTTCTTTACAGAAAAACCCGCAGGAACAGATTTGATCAATGCTTCCCAAAAAACAGCAGCAGGTCTATAACTTGATCGAGCATCACAGCCCTGACCCGAGATATTCAGCACAGATACTGTAAGACAACTACTCATGGATGCTGCAAATTCCAAGACATGAAATTTAAGGCCACTGTGTATATGAGTTAAACAAAGCAACAAGAGCAACTCGAAGTAACTGCAACACTACTGCTCAACAGAGACTCACAAAACTACTAACCACCAGGTGTCCTGATTTCACAGTAACAAAAGTGTGGCAACATATTAAAACTATGTGTTATTAAACTATGTTATGTGTAAAACAATAAAACAGTTTGATTAGACTAATATTGGACTGCAGTCAAGTAAGTCGTCATTTGTAAGTCACGGTCAAGCCAGCACCCTTTAATCTGCCACATCAATTTTCTTGCACTTAGCCTTATCAGCAATATCTCTGTGAAGGTTCTCAGTCATACAGGTCATCGTAGTCTAAGGAGCTTGGAAAGAAAAGCATCTGGACTTCTTTGAGTTGCAGTATGACAGTCGGTGTCGTAAACCACCACCTCTGTTCAAAGATGGTTGCTCACAGTGGACGTAAATGGACGTAAATTGCTACATATACACCAGTGTGTGAATGTGTGTGTGAATGGGTGGATGACTGGATATGTAAAGCGCTTTGGGGTCCTTAGGGACTAGTAA